TTTGAAAGTTGAGATTGGTCTGTATTTGTGTATGATTGGTTGCTTTAAAAAGTTCATTAATGATGTGCCATAAATTTGACCAAGCTCTCTCTTTCTCTCTCTCTCTCTCTCTCTCCTGGGGAAATGCTACACATTCCTGTGTTCTGGAAAGCAGAGACCTCTGAGTCAGTCAGGTCACGGCCTTTCGCTAAATGAGCTGTATCAGCTTCAAATGGACACTGAGTTCAAATGCTGTGTCAGTGAAGGTATCGTAACGGCTAAAGACTGCTGAGTCATATCTTATGTTAATGTGTATCCGCCAGACTGCTTGAGGTATAGGCTAACCAAATAATGTTGTTACAGTAGCAGTTCTAAAAATTTATCAGGAGATATAAAGCCAAATTTTTAAGGAGGTTTTAATGTAATAAAAATAAAACACTGCAGAGCTAAATGTTAACAGTATTGGTTCCAATAGTGTGTTTAGTTATAAAGTGCTGAAAGCCTAATTTTGCTGTCTCCCAAGGCGCCCCTTTTTTAAACACACTTGCAGGACTGCACAAGTTTTCCATGATCCAAAATCCAGTCTGAATGGTTTGCTTTGTCAGTGATTTATTAAAGCACCTTTAAATACTGTAACATGTGCTTGGTTCTTTTCATTTGGCAAAAATGTTTCAGTCAGAGACGTCCGGCATAAAATAATGGTCCAGTTGAGGGCTTAAAAATGGTGGCTCCGCTTGTGGAGTTTACGACATCTCAAGGAGAAAGAGTTATTTATTTTACCCAGCGAGAGAACTACGGGAAATGTCTCGCTGTTACATTTTTCATTTTTTGTACCAGGTACTGTATGTGTTTGATTATGGTTTCATAGGAAGAGTGGAATATTTAAAACAAACTGTAATCACTTAACCACATTTGTATAGACTGGTCTTGCAAGACATAACACTTTCTTGACATTAAGTGACTATAATGTGTTTGGTGTAGCTAAAAATAGGCACACACTAAACTAAGGTAAATAAATATATGCTTTTATTTTTTTCCCCTCCCAACATGAGAATAATCTCTTAACTTAAAATTGGGCCCTCTGTCTGATTTAACATTCACATAAACAAAAACCAGACAGATTAATGTGTCCCATCCAGCTGACAAAAAGGGAATAAGAAACGTTTCATATATGATATGTAGCCTATATTGATAATTGATGGATAGTCATCAATTTACATTTAGGAAAATATACAAACATCTGGATCATTGCCAGGGTATACAGCAGAGATTGGGTAATCCCTGTCCCAAATTCCACCACATTATGGTCCCGTGTAATATTATATTATGATAGTAATATAAGGAACATTTTGTTTTGGAAGCTGGAGATGACTACACTCAAAACTGGAAAACTGGATTAAAATATTTGAACTACCAAAGGAACACATGCTGAGATGTGATTGTATCTTCTAACCATGGCCTTGAACAGACTCAACAGAGCTCGGATTCTCTCCAAGATGTCAAAGTTAAGCTTTATTAATATATATCTCTACTATGTTGCTCCTGACTGGTACAGTCTGATAATTTGGGCTTTGTATCATTTACGTTCGTAAAGACGGTCATGTTGTATACACGGTTTGGTGGAAAGAGGGAAAGCCCACCCACTTAGAAACAAAATGGCATGTTTGTTGTTTAGTTTAAATTGTTTAAGTTAAATTGTATCCATAAAGATGACGTTCTGGTCAGAGGTGGCAGACACTGGGGTTTAGACTTGTTTCTGCTGACATATGCCAGTCTTTCATTAATGCAGTAGTCATACAATAATGCAATGAATAGCCTATGCCACTTCCTCCATCTGAAATCACACATTTTCATCTCCATGTAGCATGTCTCATGTTCGATCAGCCAGAGGAACAATCTTCTTTAGAGTGGAATGAAAGAATGCCTAAACTACAATAGCAGAAGGTAGGCTATATTGATGAACACCAGAAAGGTTAGCTGGTTGGCGATGTCTGTCTGTCTGGCACTTCTTAGTATAAACAGAGAGCTTTCCTTCATTTTGAATGTTTGACATGCTTAGCATTTATAAACTATAAAATGTTAATGCAGTCACCTATTCTGTGAAAAAGATGTTCTATGTGGATGCAGATATGCAATCTATGAACCTGAGCATTATTAGATAAGAATACAATTAGCCTACTATAAATAGCGCTTCATGTGTTTAATGTAGTTTCAGATTCTACATGGTGCAGTCTCAGCCTCAGTTACATCCTTTTGACCATGTTCACAGCACTGCTGTCATTTTTATGGACAAGGCCACTTGTCTGCTGTGTCACTGAGTAATCTTAACTTATGTCAGTAACAGATCCGTTTTATATTGCATGGCTTTGTTCCCAAATCTCCCGAAGTCTTTGCTATGATCCAGCCTGAGGTCTTGATCCCCTGTAAGGCATGAAACTGCACCGCTGTTAAGACACCTGTCTACACCTTTATATTCAATTGCTCCATTGATGCCAGCTAACAAGAGACTGCTTTGCTACTCTACTGTCATTTGTATTATCCACTCGTACGGTTTAAAAGTCCAGGCATCAAAGATCCTTCTCACCATTGGTCCCTTAACACAAAGGACTCAGGGCTAAACACAACAGCTCAAAGGTTTCTGACTGCTATTGTCATTAAATTTTGTGTGAGCATTATACAGCCGTTTTTTACTGTCAAACACTGAAGCTGCTGGTCATATTAAGTAACAGGGGATTGATACCTTGTTCAAGGAAGCATTGGTGACACCAGCATTATACTGTTATTTCTACATTGTCACAACTGTAATCTACTGTAACACTTTATTACTGTAAAATGTAATACACCATTCAACTCAGCTAGTCATGCCAGTAACACACTGTATTTCTACTGAGTTGCTATTGTAATTTCTAACTGTATGTGTTATTGTAAAATAATAAAAAAGTCTCCATCATATTCATATTTATTAAACATTTGAAAACTGTAAATTGATGATATAACATGCTGTAAATAACAATGTGTGTTTTATTCTCTCAGCGTGATGTTACTGACCTTTTTGTTTGTTTGGGAGGATGAAGAATGATGACATGACATAAGTACTGCTGCAAAAATGGAAATACTGCATTATGCCATCAAATCTCATACTAGGCTGCTGTTAATGTTTGTTCTTGTTCTGACTTGAAAAAAGCATCACGTTTTGCAGTAAGCCCCAGTATTTTGGAAGAACGGTTACTGTTTACATTTATATCAGTGCAATCACCCTTAATCAGAAAGAGTCTCGTTGTTTACTCCAATCAAGTTGTTTAAGGTCTGATAAAAGAAAGTGTAAACTCCTCCAGCATAAAGGTATTTTTGCCAATCAACACAAAGCTTTATTCTTGCTGGCATCTGGCAGCCTGGCATTTATCATACATTTTTACAATATATGGGAACGTAGAAGGTCACCTTTCAGATCCTCTCAAGCTTTTGACACCTCTATTCTAGGAAGGTAAAAGAAATTACAGAGGGAATGATTTTACCTTCTTGGTGATCTTGGAACAGCCACCTCAGGGGTTAAACTTTAAGCCAAAACCAACTGCATTATAACTATGATATACTGCTGCTGTCAAATGACACAATAACAGTCATTTGAAAAGATGTGCCTTCTAACCCAGAAATGGGAACACAGTTATATATACATACATATGTATTTTTTTGTTGTTGTTGTTTCATACACTTCAACACTCAATTATAGCGGTTGTGGTGTTGTTCTAATGACTTGCTATATATTCAGTGTCAGGTTTACAAATACGACTGTCTGTAAGCTACATTAATGCACTTTGTCTAACGTCAATTTTCATTTAATTCACTGCTCAGGGGCCTGTTCAGATTTTCCAGCCTGCTTCATAATGGTACTTTTTATAGAGGAAGCAATGCCTGCAGTTTGTCATATGTTAATATTTATCCAAGAACGCACCCCCTCAAGGCTCCACGATAATGGGGATTGTTTAAGAAAACTTAAATGGAATCTGCAGCTATCATTAAAAACACTGTCTACAAAAGGTTTTTAAGACAGTGTCCTCCTGAAAAATATGTTGAAAAAAGACCACAGTGCACTTTTAAAAAAATACATATCTAAATATACGTACTTTCTTAAAAAGAGTTTCATTGTTGTGGTGTCATGGGAGAACAGATGGGTCTGGGTTTCAGAAGATTTAAGAACAGGATTTCAGTCAGACATAAGGTTTAGATTCAGTATAGGGACCCCACTCCCTTGGTGGGTAGTGAGAAAGAGAGTATGAGCTTATACCTACAGAACAATACTGCCACCTGCTGGTTTTTCAGGAGTTCCACAAGTCGCAAGATTGACTAGTAAAAATCAAGTCAGAACTGCCAAAGGGCATGCATGGTGTTGGACCATAGACTGTATATAAAAATTATGGACTAGCACTCAAGTATGCCATCATTGTTGTTACCAAATTAAACCGAACTTGGTCCTACAGAAAGTATTAGAAGCTTAAACTTGCTGCATCATTTCTTCAAAGGGATATGAAGAAGCTTCTTAACTAACCATTACCTGAGATTTCAAACTCTAAAAAGTAAAATGATCACAAGCTTTAAAGCAGTGTTAGCTAAAGCGAAGACATCTGCTTTCCAAAACAGTTTTGAAGGTTGTGTGTCCATATTTGTATTCATATCATGTAAGACACTTGCAGCACACTTGCAGCGTCATGTCAGAATTTATATAAACTGCTATGACAGCTGTAATAAAATGTAGGCTAGCACTAACTCAAGAGCACTAGGCTCTGTCAATGTGGCACGTACTGTAATCTTTTTTTCTTTAAATAGCAGCTTGAACAATTTGTCAGAATATGTGATTGGTTTGGCATGGGTTTTCTTTGCCTTTCTTTTGTTTAAAAAAAAATCTATTTAGCTGTAGCTTTGATCGGGAAAAAAAAGGATGGGAATGGTCCACACAATTTACAGATGTGTTTCCATCTCCATTGCCTCCATTTATCATTTCTCACTCCTGGTCGAAAGGTGGCAATATTTTCAGCGTTGTGATCATCCTCCCTCTGTGGTTTTGCACAACGAATCATTCAATATGGCGGCCCACAGGATAGCATGTTTAGGGTTAAATGCCCTTTATTCCACTGTCTGCGCCCCGAAGCAGGTAATTTACTTGTTATAACCTTGTATTTTGTAGTTTGAGTGTTTTTATTAAGATTGCATCGACTATATATGACAGAAGGATAGGGAAGCAACGTTTTCAGCTATCTTAGTGGTCTTACTAGTTTTCTGATGTTAGCTTCGTAGCTCATGCTAGTTAGCCTGCTAAGTGACAAACGCCTTTTATATTGCTGCTAAATAATGTCTTGTCTGTTCGCCGTAATGGTTAACAGCGAGATAATTGTCTGATTGACTCGGGTGAAAAATAAAACCGTTGACTGTGGACGCTTATATAAGAATTTAAGTCGTTTTTGGAGCTAATGGTGTCTTTAGATGCATCCTCACCTGTGAGCCTTCCTCACTTCAGCCTCAGTAATGTTCGTCCATGTCTGCAGGTTACATGAACGCCCGAAGCTGATGCCATCAGATCATTTAGACAGGCCCTAAAGTAAATGGGTGGAGGATATTAAAATAAAGTGTTTAATACATTTAGAACATGTTTGTTTCCTTAATGAAATGCACAATGAGAAGATTCATTTCCACTACTCAATGAAATGTAACCCCCTGTCCCCCTAATAAATTTGGACAATACCATTATTTTCCCAGACAGCACATATGAGTTTGTAATAAATAAAAAAAACATTGCCATCCAATGGCCATTTTATATATTTATGTAGATGAACTGTTGAGCTCAATGCTCCTCTTTCCCACACTACAAAATCCACAAACTAACGGCAGTAGAATCAAGTTTGTGTCTATTTAAAAGTTGTTTCCTTCTTTAACTTCTCTTAATAAACTGCAGACAAATTATAGGCCCTTCTCAATCCATAATTCTCTAGATTTGACACTGATAATATTAAATTGAGGGGATCTGGGGGTCCCCCTGAAAAATTTGGGCTTTAAACACTTAATTTTCTGCATTCTGGTAAATTTCTTTGCACCAATTTATTGAGGAAATGTCTCAGTTGACAATTCAAAATAAGAAGAATATAGTGTTATATAATGCAGTAAGCCTGTCAGGCATTCTGTACTGCTGTCAGATATGTTCTGTTATGCTCCTGTAGATCAACTTTTCTCATTTAATTTAATCCTGCTGAGTCTACATACATGCCTAAGCCTAAAGTTGTTTCAAATGTGCATATGGCACCTTTTCACCTCAATGATAAATTAGCTTTATTAATCAGAATTCAGTTAAGAATTATTCATTGACAAAATATTCGATAGGGGGGTGTGGGGGTCCTCCCCCAGAAGATTTTGAGCATTAAACACTTAATTTCCAGAATTTGGAGACATTTTCTGCACCAATTAATGGTGGAAATGTCTTTATTTTTATAAAGGAAGGACAAAATTTAGGTAGCAGCTGACAATTCAGAATGTAAAAATTTAATAGAATGTAATGCAGTAATCAGTAGCTTATTTTTTTCTTTAACCTTATATCTATATATCGGTTATTTTCGCGTATTTGGCAAATTATAATTTTTTTGGCCCACAACACAAGAAACAGCTCGAGCAGAGGGGGAGGGAGTGGGTGCTGTAAGAGATGTGATTGGGCCATCCCAATGTCAGTATAGGCCTGATGCTTTATGGACCGATCGTTGGCCCATTTTTAAAAATAGTTTGGCCTATATAAATAAATAATTTGACTTGTAGCCTACTCGATGAGACGAGCGCACTGCTCTTCATCAGAGGAAGAAAACCAAAACTGAAAACACTTGTGATCAAACAGAAATATCACACAATTCCACACAAATGTTCACTTCAGCACCTCTGATAAAGTGCAGCTCTCACCCACTTTAGAGGGAATGAAGCATCCTAGAGCAGAGAGACAGTCAAACAGAGCAAAGTGTCTCTGAGCGAGTGGGAGAGAGACAGCAGGACACAGAGCGACAGGTGTTAGTGTTGCGGTCAGGTGTGTCATGATATCTCTCACTACTTTGCAGCCACTGTTAACTGTTTGTGTAACAAATACACTGACTGGACACTGACCGACAACATTTATATTTAAATGTATTGATTACAATTTTTCTAGGTACAATTCAGAAGTCGTGGACAAGCCCTGAAGCTGTGAACAATGTTTTCTCTCTCTCTCTCTCTCCTCTCGTGCTCCCTCTAAACGCAGGCAGGCTGAGTAACGGTGGGGGGTCACATTACGTGAACTTTAAAACAAAATGTAGCAATATTATTGCGAGTAGCCTCCGCGAGACAGGCTGCATCATGAAGATTATTGCATATTAACATGGAAAATATTTTTGTTGCTGTTGTTGAGTTACATTCGGGGCTACAGTCAAAACATGACCTGGCGACGCCGATGATCATATGTCAGTAACCAGTGTTTTTCAATCGGCAATATCTGCAAAAAGGCTTTAAGAACAGCCTGTAACATTAGGCTCAACTCTTAGAAGTAACTGCAGTCAATCTGTCTGTGCCACCCAGGGGCATAATATTACCGGTCAATCAATAACAACTGCTGGAACTCTGTGTGCAGGCCCTGAGGAGCTGCTGGGGGGCGGTGGAGCAGGTGAGAGGTTACTACGTTGACTGGAGGATGCTGAGGGACCTAAAGAGAAGACAGATGGCCTTTGACTATGCCGATGAGAGGCTACGGATCAATGCACTGAGGAAGAACACCATCCTACCCAAAGAGCTTCAGGTACAATGCAGCATTTCAACTTTTAGTCAGTGTGTTGTAAAACTGAGCTAACTGATTTATCAAATTTCACTGGAATAGAATTGTGATAATATAGTCTTCTCATGTTGCACTTTTGTAAATTTCTGTTGTTCTAATTAATGATTCAGAATTTTTAATTTCAACTTCAATATCAGTGAAATTTCAACTTTAATTTCAACTTGCACTGATATTGAAGTTTTAGTTTTACACATATGAGAAAATGATAACATTGGAACACAATTCATTGTTTAGAACATTTCAACAACTATGATTACTCATTTAGGATATTTTGTTGCCAGTACAGTATGAAATCCTACTTAATCTTTACAGTTAGTTGAAAAAAAAGGAGCCTGCATCTTTGTGCACATCTCTAAATAGTTGAATCTTCTCATGAAAAGACGCAGTGTGTAAGAGTAAGTCTTTCATGTTGCAAGTGCAGCAGACAATACAAGTCACTCACAGTGCAGATGTCACAGTTGTGCATCTTTTGTGATCATTATTGGAGGTGATGCACAACATCCAAGGTGATTATTTTCCTAAACACCCTACTGTTATTTGCAGGAGGTTGCGGATAAAGAAATTGCAGCATTACCAAGGGACAGCTGCCCTGTGAGAATACGCAACAGGTGTGTGATGACCTCCAGACCTCGGGGAGTGAAGCGAAGGTGGCGACTCAGCCGGATTGTTTTCCGTCATTTAGCTGACCACAACCAGATGTCTGGGATTCTGAGGGCAAGGTGGTGACTAGGGATCCACTGGACACTCCAGCTGGAAGAGCAGGACATCGGCATCCAATACAGACTTGTTTTGGCCTTTTAGTGTCTGGAGTCTTTAGCGGTATTGACTAAAAACCTGGAAGGTGTTAATGTTTAAAGTGAATCTGCAGCATATCTTCAGTATTTGTTATATGCTGAAGAGGACATGAATATATCCTTTCTGTAGATTATGTTTGTCCGGTTAGTAAGTTGCTTGTTTTCTTATGGCTCTTCTAAATGCGAAAAACAAAATACATATTATTTAAAGAGAAAATGACAATGTGACTCCTCAGAAGAGCAAGTGTTCATGTAACTTACTGTACCCAGAAATGGATGAATAAATATTGTTGTACATTATTTTTTTTTAAATTCTGGAAATATTATTGGAATATTGACTATTTTATCCAAGCTATGGTATACACAAATTCTAATATTCAGTCTTAACGACTTTCCTTTCAAATGTACAGTGTGGTTGTGTATGGTTGGTTTATGGTAAGAGTTTTTCATTTCAGTGGAAGTGCCTTAGTTCAAAATGTGGCAAAGCCCAATGATTCAAATAATTTTATTCATTATGTGCTGAACTGAGAAAACACAAATCAAGTTGTTACCTATGGTGGTTACCTACTGGAGCCCAAAACTGCCCAGATTACAGGATTGGGTTTTAATATTAAATTAAATCACAAACCTTAAAAGTGGTGTAAAGTAATCGACGAGTGTCAGAAGAAAATCCATCCATATAGCGTAATAAAAAATACATTCGTACAATTCATTACTTGAACTAACATTTTTAGTGACACAATTGTATTTGAAATGTTCATGCTTGGATGTCAACACTTCGGTCCAGCAGGTAGCGGTAGTGCTTGTTAACCGCCACTAATCAGCAGGAGGAAAAAGAAGAAGAAGACGAAGCGCGCCGCGAGAGCAGTGTGAAATACAGCAGGGAACGAAAGAGAACTTAAAATAGGTTTCTGAACTTAGCAAGCATAACTGATAAAGACAAACCGGAATGGATCTAACCGAGCAGGTAAACAGCATTGTTTATTCGGTTTAGTATTTGCAGACAATCTAAAACTGTAGTTTGTATATTATTTACTGAATTTAAGTAACGTTACATGATTCCACTAAAATGCTATGCAATGCTAACGTGAGGGCAGGTAACAGATAACCGCAAATCAGCAAAGTGGTGTCTGTCAATTTTAGCTGAAGTTTCAAGAGGTAACGTTATGTTATAAATATTTTCACCAAACTTGAACGCGTATTTGCCAACGATCATGACAGTATTCATGTCTGGCGGCATGTGTTAGTAGCTAGCAGTAACTAGCTTTCGCCAGAGTTTACCAGAACCTTCTATCAACATGATGTAACTTGTTAACTAACGTCGAGGCTCTTTATTTGTGTGTAGAGCTAAGACAATGTTTGGCTTCAATTCTAGACTATTAGATGTTTTGTGATCAGATGTTATCTTTATTTTAGCCGATAGTGTTAACTTATCATACTTAACTTACCGTATCAGATGGTTTTTGAAACAAATTACATCACATTTAAAAAAAAAAAAACGAAATGATTATCAATTAATGCTCCCAGATGCTGGAACTGGGGTCATGTAATTGATGTTTTGTTCTGACCAAAAAATACCCCAAGAAACTTACTGTAGATACAAGTGAAATTCAAGCAACACTTTGTGCAACATTTGTGAAGCACATGTTTAGTATTTTTACTTTAGATACTACGTGTCTGTTGCTATTAAATATATTAATCAAAATATATTTTCTGTTGATCAACTAATGGAGAAACAGTTTCAGCTCTGAAATGTAGACTCGGGTAAAAACAAAAAAAGCTGTTTAGGGTTTAACACATTATCTAAATAATTTCTGTAAAATGTCTAATTCACGGATGTGGGTTTCTCTCAATTCTTTCCCGAATACAGATCAACCAGTTGGAGGCAGATTTACTGGAGCTGGGGTCACTCGTGGAGAAGGCAGAGAGGAAACGAGTGCAGGAGCTGCTAAAGCAGGAGCAGAAGAAGGTGGAGAATGAGCTTGCAGTCAAACGACAACAGAAGGAGCTACAGGCCAGGAGACAAGCAGACCCATCTGCTGCCTCTAAAGCAACATACACAGTCAAGATAACCAATTATGGTATGGTGCCATTGTTTAGTTAGACTACGAGCCATTTGTGAGAGAGCAACTGGTCACACGTGTAAAAGCTGATTGTTTTTCATCTTCTGTGCAGCATGGGACCAGTCAGAGAAATTTGTCAAAATTTACCTCACATTGAAGAATGTGCACAAAATTCCATCAGAAAATGTGGAGGTCAACTTTACAGAAGGGTAAGGTGAAAATCAGCATATTTATACAGTGCATATATAGTATAGTATTCATCATGTGTCACTAACCATGTCATTGTTTTTGCTTATTCTCTCTTTTGCAGGTCATTTTCTGTGTTGGTGAAGGAACTAGATGGGAAAAACCATCAGATGACGGTCCTCAACCTGTTATATCCAATTGATGAAAAAGACAGCTATAAGAAGGTGAATAAAGCCTATTCATCAGGTTTAGCTGTTGATAGAAGGTGGCACAAGTTATTATTTTGCTGGTAGTACAAACTTCTTATCTGTCAAAATTGGAAGAGGTCCTAATTAATTAAACTATTTAAGCCATAATGCGCATCTTAAATACATTTCTGAAGCATGCTTGTTTCTTTAATACTTGGAACCATTTTGTATTTAATGATTGTTATCACATATAAGAACCTGGGGCCTGCTAAGCACTACAAAGTAAGTTGGACATAATATGGACAGAATGTTTTATTATCTGGCTATGAGCGCGTTCACATAAAAGGGTCAGTGTTTGCAGCAGAAGACCAATTGCAAACATGGCCAAGTCTACTGGCAACCGAGCGGCATATTTTACAAATGAAGAGTAAACTATAAAATTAGATTACAAAGAAGTTAAACACATAATTCAGGCTAAAGGCAACACAACTGCAGCTGCTGCATGCAAAACAATAATGACTGTGTGAATGCCCGAGTTAATATTACTGCCCAATCATTAGGGCACGAGTAGATCTGACTATAATTACATTTGTGTGTTCCATTAAATTGATGTGTTGCTTAGATGTATCCATACGACAGGTTTAGCCTTATTCTTTCAGCTGCTGCAGCTGTGTGTCAGAATTTGACATTATTTACTGCAGGCACTGAATAAGTGGTTGTTCCAACTCACTTTACGAACTTTTCATTAACGTAAAAAATCAGATTAATTTATTTAACACACTTAAAAATGTTCCAAACGTTGTTTTAAGTTATTGTCATAAAGCAATGAAACAAAACAAATCCATTCAGGCCATAAAAAGGAGCTCATATAGTTTTCGAAAGACTATATCTCAGCCACAAATTGATGTTAACCTGTTGAAAACTTAGCTTCTGACTTTTCAAAGGAGACCAGAACTATGCATCTAGGCCAAATGGTTGAGGAGTTATTCCTGATTCATTTTGGGTATGTTATTTTAGGCGTTTTTTCTGGAAAAAGGTGCCTGTGCCCAACTTGAGTACCAAAATATATGGTCATAATATTTAGCCTAATATTAAAACAGTAAGCCATTACTTTTAATAGCAGCAAAAGGATAAAATGAACTAAAAATAAATAAATTTCAAAGTGGTAAGTAGGCTTACTGTCATATCTTAAAAGTACAAGGCTTTAGTGCTTCTCTGTGGTACCATGATATCGGTATACAAAAGCATCTCCACATCACATACAGCAAACAAAGTATATAACAGTCTGCAGGATCTTAATCTTCGAATGACGATGCCATTTTCCGAAAGAATTGATCAGTAGGCGGTGCTTTAATAGCCTTGGTCTCATATCTCAAACATAACCTGCTCCGGAGCAGGTTAGCTGTTCAGTGAAGGCTTGTGCAGACTACACGATTTTCAGCGTTGGCCGATGGCCGTGCTGTTCACACTACACAGCTTGCCGTCTTGTGACGGGAGTCTTGAAGTCGTTGTGGCGTTCACACTACTTGACTGATCAGTGACAGGGGGTCACACACTACCCGAGCTGACAACGACTCTGTTACCCAACGCTGGTCTCCAAACCACATTTTGTCGAGAAATGTGAAACGGGAAATCATGCGAACCTACACACAAAACAGCTGTTGTTTGTTGTTATAAAGATACCAATTATAAAGACAAAAAATCTGGGTGAAAGAGTGGATTAGCACACACATGTAGCAGGGATTGTCTGAGCTACAGAGAAAGCTGGGGGGAGTAAAAAGTGTTTTGCGGTGAAAAAGTAGCTGCCTGCTCTGCCGGCAGCCTGCTCTCATTGGCTGGATGTGGATGTCGAGTCGGCAGACTCCTCCAGATATTTGGCATGCTAGATATCTGGCAGAGGTTGGCCATGTGTCAGAAATGTGTGAATGTGTCGTTGTGTAGTTCACGCATAACGAGTAAGACCGCCGATCAACCACTGATTTACCCCCCCGATCACAGCTTGACTGTTGGCGAGCGGCAAATCAGGCTCAGAATCGTGTACTGTGAACTAGGCTTAAGTAACCATGGTAAGAAGTGAACCACTGTCGTAGGACTGAAAAGTTACCTAACGCTGAAGTTACCCCGTAAACCTGAAAACCTGGTTTGTAGTACAGGCCCCTGTTCTGGATGGATGATATTTTCTAGTTGTGAATGGTTGAACTACATTAAGCAGTTTGTGACCACTACAGGGCAGAAAATAAACTCCAAAACAAACTTGCTGTAACAATCCTTGATTTACTACATTGATTTGTCAAGTACTTTTTAGGGTTCTCTTTAACGATTGCTAAATGTTTCTTACAGAGCAGCAGCAACAAAGAAAATGGGCATCTAGTAGTTCCTTTTCTTGCCAGCTTCTGAATTCAGGCTCAGTGTCAACATGCATTTTACCTTTTAGGTTAATCTGCTAACTTCTGGGGAAAACAGAGTCATCTGTAAGGCCTGTAACTATTTTTCCTTCTTTCAAACAGATAAAAACCGACATGGTCCTGGTTATGTGCAAGAAGCACACAGCAAAGAAGTGGGAGTGCCTAACAAAGGTGGAAAAGCTGTCCAAAGAGAAAGAGTAAGTTCAAAGAAATAGGAAAGTTTATTAATTTTAAAGTAATTTGCACAAAGCAGGGGTTTTGACGTAAACCCACTGCATACGCTATATGGTTCATATGATTAGTTGTTGTCAGTAGCTAATGACACATTGGCATGAGCACTTGCATGAAGAATTATCTTTACTGAAAGTATAAGTATAGAAAAACAGTTTTTTTTTTTTTATGTCAGAAAGTGAAACCTTGCCAGTATTCTCATACACATCTGGTCAATCACTCCAACCAGGACTGAGATTCTCAGTACCATA